CCTGACCCATCATCCTACATTCAAGTCCACATCATTCAAGATACCTTACTTCCAGATATCAAAGGAGCCCTGAGCAACTCTTGCGTAAAACCCCTTACCTAACTTGTTGCAGAAACCAGAGGAGCAAAAGTAAAGTTGAGGTCTATTTCACATTCAAGATACAAAAGCGAACAACCCCAAAAAAACCTAAGTATTTTATTAATAATAGATGGGTGAATAAACACATGGATAGAACTTGGAAATTGTAGACCAAATAGTTCTCAAACATTGTTAAGTGTAAAATGGCACAAAAGTTATACAGTGCAACTACCCCATGACCCTGCTCTTATTCCTATACACAAGAGCAGCCTTTCCAAATAAGTGTGAACAGAAGTCTGACTGCTTTTTCCTGTTTTTCCAAAGTTCTTTCTTATCTCTTCCCAAGACACAGAACTTCCCTTTTCTTGAGATGTAGATTAGGCATTTCATTTACAAATTTCTTTCCAAGACACAGATTTTTCCCTTCCAATCACCAACATAAAAATTGTGGAACCCACCTATAACCTATAAGCTCCTGCTTCCACGTTCCACCTTTTTGGGCCAGACCAATGGTAATCTCTTTACTAATTTTGTCTGTCACTCTCAAAATCAAATAAAAGGAACCCCTGTACCTGATCATCCCAAAAAAGGCATGTTTCGCCTCCTCTCCGGGCCTAGGTCACTCATATTCTGCTTGGAAATAAACTGCATTAATTATTAAGTATTAATTTTTTAGAGTTAGTTATTTTCTATCGACAAGATGGCGACCATGAAGGGACCAGGAACAAACCAGAGATCTTCTGAGGGGTCACTTCAAACCCGGTTCCTGGTACCAACAGTAGGCCCTTTGTGTCCTCTGTGGCTCCAAGCGTCTCCTCAGAAGACATTTGGTAAGTCCTCTGGCCCCAGACTTCCCAAAATTTGGTGAATGGACTGGTTTATTTCTAAGCTGGTTTGCTTGTTCATCTGTCTGATGTTTGTCTGTTTTGGGTAACCCAGATTTGCTCTCCTCCTAGCAAGGGGCAGCAGTTTGCTCTCCTTCAAGCAAGGGCAGCGGTTTGCTCTCCTCCAAGTGAGGGCAGTGGTTTGCTCCCCTTGGGGCGAGGAGCAGCAGTTTGCTCTCTCCAACAAGTCGTAGTGTTTTGTTCCCCTTTGAGTGGGTACTTAGGAAAACTGAAAGTATGAAAGTGCATTGATTATTGAAAAAAAAAAAAGAGGGAAAAAAGAAAGAGGGGAAACAAAAAGGAGTATTCTAGGGGGTCTTCCTTCTTTGCCTTCTTGAAGCTGCTTCAGTTGGCTGCTATGCATTTGCACTGGAGAAACTGTCTTATCCATAGGCAAATGAGAAACTGAGCTGCTCAGTTGTGGGGGGGTTGGGTTGGGACGGGCATTTGTTTCTGCCAAGTAGGCACCCCAGGTGACTGGGAGCTTTACTGGGAGTGTCTGGAGAAGAAGATTTCCTCCTCTTAGGACTAGTAGAGGCCCTATAGGGAATCCTAAGTACAATAATTAATAACAGGCCTATCCAGTAAATGCAAAATAAGAGCTGACCACTCAAGCGTTTTAGACCCCATTCAAGGGTGCTAAATTCTTTTTTAATAATTTTTTTGAGAGGTTTTCACTATAGGGCGCATGCACTTGCCAAAAAAACAAAGAGACAGAGAAACAGAAAGCGAAAAATTACCCCCCAGGGGAGATGGCCATGCCACAATCCCTTCTTCTCCATTCTCTTCTTGGGATCTTGGGCATGCACACACATGTGCCCAACATGATTTTAAGCCACCAGGCCCAAGACTCAAACTGCGGTCAACTACATGAGACTCCAGTGACATAGCCATTATGCCAACTGCTGGTTCCCGAAGGGTGCTAAATTCTTGAAGGGAACTGAGACAGGTAAGATGAGTGATCTCAACACAAGTGACATTTAGTGGAAAGACACTCAAAAAACCAGCGTGCTGGTCCACCACGTTAAAATGAATTGGGGGGAAAAACGAAATAAGACATCTACAGTTTAAAAGGCAAAGAGGATGACCCCTTTCGGGCACCACAGCTAGCTTTATGTATACTATCTACGGTACCTTGACCTGCAGGTATTTAAATAAATGGGAAGAATTACAAAAGGTGATCTTGGTTAAAATTTTCTCAGGTAGAAGCTTTGATATTTCTAAGTAAGTCTTTTTGCACACTCAATTATAAAATCTGTATCTCATTTTTAAAAAATGAATGAGGTTGCTACCTTCAGTATAAAAAATTCATTTAAAAAAGATGACAAAATTAACCCCTTATAAAAATTAACAGGAATAAATTTGAAACTGTCGCAAAAAATAACAGAAGCTGCTTCTGAAATTAAAAAGGTGCCCAAAACTCTTCTTGTCTGGATAATTTCTGTCTTTTCCTATTCCTTCTCTTACCAGAAATAAACTTGGGAAAGACACACATTGGCAGATTAGTCGACATAATGGTTATTGTCAACAAATTCGAATCTGGTTCCCTCTCTAGGAAACTATGGGCCAAACCTTAAGCACATGATATGAAGAAGGAAAGCCTAGCCTTGTTGATACATGCAGAGGCAAAGAGCAGGGCAGCTCATGTTGAAAGGGACCAGTCTGCTAGAGTTTTGTTTTATTTAATTTTTGTATTTTTGTTTAAGCGCAGAAGTCTCTACTGAATTAATCATGTACTTATCAGGTTTTTTTATTTTTATTTATTTGGAGAGGTTTTTGCTAGAAGGCACATGTGCTTGCCAGAAAGAGACAGAGAGACAGAAAGTGAGAAATCACTCCCTGGGGGGCTGGCCATGCCGCAATCCCTTCTCTCCTCTTGGGATCTTGGGCACACACGTACACAAGCCGGCGTGAGTTTAAGTCACGGGGTCCAGGACTCGAACCGCGACTGGCTACATGGGAGTCCAGTGATATAGTCATTACGCTAACTGCTGGTCCCATCAGTTTTTTTTTTTTAATAATTATTTAATTTTATTTATTCATTCTTTTTTTTTTTTATTTGACAGAGAGAGATACAGAGAGAGAGAGAGAGAGAGAAAGTGAGAAAGCAAGCCACCAGGTCTGGTATTTGAACTATGGTCAGCCATATGAGAGTGTCCAGCGCCTTAATCACCACACCACCTCTGGTCCCTGTCCCATCAGTTTTAAAGGGTGTGTTCATCTGGTGGGTCTCTTTGATTTGCAGTCTTAGATAACATTTTTTATTTCAGGGGAAAACAATCATCAGTTTTCTGGCAGCAGTAGGCCTGGGGTCTTTTATATTTTTTCTTTCTCTTCTCTTCTCTTTTGCTAACAACCAGCAATTGTCTACCTTGTAAAACATCTTAAATTTTTATTATTCCTTTAAAACCTGTGTTTATATTTAGTGGTACAGTCTTCCCTCAACCTTTGTCTCCTTATTTTATCATAATCAAAGCCTAAGTTTTCCTTTTACTGTGGGTCATTACAACATAAATAAACCTCGAATTCTAACTAATTTTGTCTGTTACCCTCAAAATCAAATAAAAGGAACCCCTATACCTGAAAAAAGAGGCATGTTTTGCCTTCTCTCTTGGCATGTTTTGCCTTCTCTCTTGGCATGTTTTGCCTTCTCTCTTGGCCTAGGTCATTCATATTCTGCTTGGCAATAAACCACATTAATTATTAATTTTTTAGAGTTAGTTATTTCCTGTCGACATAAGTAATAAATACAATCCATTGATCATATACAGAATAGTATAGTGGGTCAAAACAAGCATCTTTTTAATGGCTTGCAAAGAGAGTTGATGGGATAATTTCTTATTGGTTAAGAAATCGAAAGTAGGGACCAGCAGTTAGTGTACTGGCTATGTCGCTGGACTCCCACGTAGTCTACCGTGGTTCCAGTCCTGACCTGGTGGCTTAAACTCACACCAGGTGCGTGTGCGTGCGTGCCCAAGATCCCGAGAGGAGAATGGAGGAGAAGGGATTACGGCGTGGCCATCCCC